AATTTCGAGACACCCTGCATGTTGTGCTAAGCAGCTGTTATCCGACTAAACGTCTTGTCTGCAATGTCAACAGTTTGCTCTGTCCAGTGTAAACTGCAGGCACAGAGTCTCAAAGGGACAACGTCTGGGTAAATACAGTTTAACACCTTCATCAAGCAGCTCTAACAACTCTAGAGACCACAATTTGCTTGCTTAGGGCCTTCTTGTCAAAACGACACCACCTTGCCACGTTTATTGAAACCTCCATTCTATGGAACTTTACATTTTATAACAGTTTATAAGTTTTGCTTGTATGAGATGATTCGTTGCTTTTAGCGAATTCCCAGGGAAGTAGTTATAAGTGGAGTGACCTAGACCCGGGACCGTTTTACTTTTTCCCGAGGCAAAAAACACTATTTGTTAAATTTATATGTATGTGTCTGTGAACGATAAATTATGTTGGTACGATTTGATGGAATTTGGCATGCATTTGTACAGGTAAATAAACTTGAAGTTCGCGAACCAAGATCAGGCCATGGGGGTGTTAAGGGGGTTTATGATTGTTATGTTTTTTAATAATTTTTACCCTTAACATAAAATGACCAATTTTCATTACAACCATCGTAATTTGAAAAATCAATAATTTGGTACATTGAAGCGTTGTAGGATTAAAGATTACTGTATTCTTAAAATCCCTATGTTATTGAAAGAGGCAAAGTAAAATGTCATAGTCTGCTTGCATCGGACGTTCGTTGAAACTAGTAAACGTGTCCATTGTAAAATTACAGCAAGAAAATAGAACTACAAAATTCTCCAAAATGTAGAAAACCATTATTAAGACTTATTAAAATCAAACGTTGTATAGTTTTAGATGGTATAATTTTTAAAAATATATGTCAAAATATTTTACTTATCCAAGAGAAGAGCCACTAAATGTGGTACATCAATGGAACCAATGGCAAAGTAGTTTACACATAGTTTCCTTGAAAGTTATAAAATAATCATTAAAATTGTCCGGTATATTTCTGTATACTGTATTATTTTGTGCCAGCTGATGAAATTTCATAAAACTTTGTAAAATGGTTTCGCTACTTGTAAAATTAATTAGACTATTTATAAATACTAGGGGTCGTCCAGTGGTCGAAAACTCGACCACAAATACATAATGCACAAACTTCTCTATCCCCCCCACGCTGTAAATAAAACATCTGATTGGATTTTTTCCATTTGTCTTGATTTTCTGTTTATATTTCGTTGTTATTTCGTCACCAACATGGCAACCCATAAGGCCCATTTTAATTTTTTCTTAATTTTAAATTCACTTTTTGTGCTTGTATTTGAACCTACTTTAATTTATGGAGGTATTCGGCACATCTGCAGGAAAACATCTTTCTAACAGTATCCGTAGATTTTCCCTGCGATTCACACGAGCTGAGAAAAAAGGTTTTAAAGAAACATGCTTTCCTATTAATATATAGACTAGTGGTCGTACAGTGGTCGAAAACTCGACCAAAAAAATGCAATGTACCCGTATTGAATATTGTTTACTGAATTATATTTTCCATCTATATGGACCGGTTGTCGCAATTTTTTTATTAAAAACATGTAGTTGTGTGAACTTGTCACAGTATTCGTGTCTAAAATTATATTTGTCATCTTATTTTTTGTTGCTGGCAATGTTGATGGGCCAAAATATTTAGTTGCTATAGCTCTTAATAAGTCATTCCATAAGTTTGACTTGGTAAAAATCGTCGTGTATTCGAGAGATATTAGTCACCCGTTTGGTGGCCCACATCAACTAAGACGATTTTAATTAAAACTGGCGACAACATTAACATAGGTATGGAATGTCTAGTTGGAAGTCAAAGGTATAGGCTTCTGTATTTTCACCCTACGCTGTAAATAAAACATGTGATTGTAATTTCTTCCATTTGTGTTGAGTTTCTGTTTATATTTCGTTGTTATTTCGTAACCAGCTTGGCAACCCATAAAGCCCATGTTAATTTTTTTTATTTCAAACCAATTTTTGTGCTTGTATTTGAGCCTATTTTAATTTTTAAAGAGATTCTGCTCATCTACAGGTAAATATCTTTCTGACAGTATGCGTAGATTTTCCCTGCGATGCACACTAGCTGAGAGAAAAGGTTTTAAAGAAACATGCTTGCCTATTAATAAATAGATAGATTGTTATTGATAATGTGTGATGTAGTTATCAAAAATAGATGACACACGACTTAACTTGATCAAGGAGTAAAAGCTACTAAAATTGGTAAAGCGTTTTACAATTTTAAAATTTTTGACGCAACAGTATTCAACTTTCATACACCTTAATTTAGTATCAATAAGTGTTAGTGAAAATCGTAGGACATATAATAGTTATAGGCCGGTTACTTGGAATCAAGCCAAATATAGTGGGTATTCCAGGTATAGCTTAATAAAGTAGGTAACTTCAGTACTCCAGAATTCCAGGATTCCCTTTAACCCATGGATCCTTTATTAACAGTTCTCTAAAGGTCTATGTCTAGTACTCTAAGAATCAAGAATAAAAAAAAACAATTTTATAAGAATTTCTACCTCATTTATTTGGACAGTAAAAAACATTGACGTTTTTCACGAATTTGTTGTTACTAAAATGTTGTAACTCCAATCGAGTCATTAAAATCTTTTAAAGAGGAATCAAATCATCCAACATTCAAGACTGAAAACACATGTTCAATAATTCCTCTAATTTTTTTTCAAATCAACAGGTGTGTCGCGAATTTAACAACACTTAACTGCACGACTTCAATAATTAAACGGATATTTTTTATATTACGTCTAAATTTACAAACTAATAAATAGCCTTGGGTATAGAAAAATATTACTCACGTATTGAGAAGCGAAACAAAACACGGCAAAGTAATATAACACGAGTGTTTTGGTCAAAGAGCCGGGCGGTACTGGCTAGTGACGTCAACAGAACACGTTGGGCGGTTGGGCGGTTTGGCGGTGGGTAGGAGGGTGGGCCACCCCTACGTTTGGGGCTACTACAGTGAGTACGCTGCTAGTATCTTCATTTTAGCCACTCAAGCGTGCCCACGACGCCATATTAGCGCTGATTCCATCTCAATACTTGTAACCGATGTTAGGCCTACCAATGTTAAAATGGTCGATTTTATACTATCTACTATCGACTTTTGAATACTGAAGTAGACTTTCTCTCTACAAAGAAAAAATAGACAAACTCCTGCTGTAGAGTTTTTATATAAAAATAATATAGTTTAATTCGTAGCTATGAAATAACATAGTGTATTTTCATAGGTGCGAAGTTCTAAAAACGTTAATAAATTAAGAATTAAGACAAGTAGTAGGATAAAACACGTTATATTGTATCCATTTTATGCCTCCGTGGATTGATAAAGACTAATAATAATAATAATAATAATAATAGGTTAAATACCTTATTTACGTCTTCAATCCAAGTCGTCTTTTATAATGACTACATGTTCGGCCATTATCAAATTATCTGTCTTGTTAAATTACTGTTAATAGCATTGGTCATAGTTGAAGTTCACATATACACATACACTGACTCACGAAACATTTATTTTAACATGTAGCATTGAAAATTTATATTTTTGGTCGGCCTAAACAAAAGTAACTATAACGTTGTACCGTTGTACGTATAGTCACTTTTGTAAGGGATGTCTTCTCTCTTCTGCATAAACCACGCACCAATCTCCGTCTCTACCTGTTTTCCTTATTTACTTTTCGGACTCTTCCTACTCTTGTCATAATGTATTATAGTATTTTTTCAGTAAAAACGAATAACAACATTTTTATGATATTATAAGTTAAGGTTTATAATTATTTACTTTCTCACATGAATGTAAATATACATGATAAAATAAATAAATAAAATCATATGTTTTTTTAGATTATCAGCAAAAAATAACATTTATGTCTTGCTTCAAACTTTTTCCTATGTTAATATTATGGAAGAAAAAACATACTTTAGGTGCACTCTGTACATTTCTGAAAAATAATTTTTAAAAAAGAAAACCTTAATGCAAAACTATGAATTGGGACAAACATTTTGACATTTCAAACATTAACATCGGTCCAGAAATAACGAAGGAGTTTTGTTCACACAAAAAAGCCCTCACGTATTAATATAAGAAATAATTTATTTTTTAACACATCGTAATACAGTGGTGTCTAATAAAGTGGAAGTAATCAAGTTTTTGTAATCCATGAGTACAAGCTCCTGCATTCTATCGGTAAACTACAGAACTACCACCACAGTTTGTATTGATTACACAAACTGTTAAGGATTTTAATCGTTATATAATTATTTGTTTATTCAGTTTCATTAGTTTGATTAATTTATTTTAATAAACTTTGACTTGATGTAGTTTAAATATTGTTATATTTTTTCGTGAATAATCGTCTACTTTGACGATGGAATATTATTATTTAGTATTTCTACCAAGCAGTACTTCCTAGGCTATTATTTTTCTCAGTCAATGATTTGTTTTGGTTTCAACTGAATTTATTTGGATTAGTATCACAGTTATATATGTTTAAAATTCCTTTTTTATTGTTTTGTTAGTTAAAAAAGGTAAGGGAGAGATCCAGTCGTACGCGATGTCTTAGCTGGTCTAGTGGTAGAGCGCGGAGCGTCGCTACCCGAGGTACTGGGTTCAAATCCCATCAATCACCAACGGATTTTATCCATGTGATAATACCACTACCCACTAGGCCTGAATAATGTGTAAAACAGTTCCGGGCTAGAACTAGCGCCCTATGTGACAAAAAATCCATCGGTATGAAACGCACACCATAATGTTACAGATTGGATGAGAAGTCTACTACTGTTCAAGTTAATGATTTGGTTTAATCTATGCCAGCATCCGTTGTAAGTGACTGAGAGCATGACTAACATTGATAACAAGTATGACTAATGCCCGATGTCACGTGACTAATGTTGTTAGTCTATTCGTATTCAGTAGCATGATCCACTGTCGGAGTTCTAGGACGAACTTAATGTCATAATGTGCGATCAATGAGGTGAACAACTAATTATTTTAAACCTTTGGAATATTGAACGTTTTTGCGATAAGTGTTTTTGCTGAGTGGTTTTTGTTGGAACAAAATAGGTATGTAGTGAAATCAAAGTTATTTAATTGAGTTTATCTGAGGGTTTTTAAAATTAAATAATCATTATGATAGTTTGTTTACTTAAGTAAACGTGTGTAGTATAGTTTTATAGGTCATGAATACTAACTTGTATTTTATAGCTATATGTCGTATCAATGTTCTAGTCACAGATCATAAACTTTGTAAGTTAAAAAGTTATTATGGATATAATTTATCAAAGATTATTCGGTGATCCGAACCATGTTCCTATGGGAGCAAATACTTTTGTTTACAGAATAGTGAAAATAACTTATTTACTACGTGCTTTTGTAAATACGAAGGAAACTCACAATAAGTAATGTTTTTCGTTTTTATTATTGTTAACTAACTGGTCCGACAGACGTCGTCCTGTACTAATGTGGTTTTATGTCAAATGCTCGTTCATTTTCAAGATGAGCTCGTTCGCATCGCTCAATTACGTCCTGGTTAAAATTCGTTCGCTACGCTTACTCACCATTTAGTTGGAGCTCGTTCGCTTCGCTCACTCGCCTTCTGGCTAAGCTTGTTTGCTACGCTCATTCGCCTCCAGGTTGAAGTGAGTGAGCTAGTGTAAAGGCAAGTTTTTGGAATTTTTAAAATCAAATTACTACAACACGGTTTGATGGATTAAAAATTTCCTTACATAAAACCCTTCCCTTGGCACTAAGGAACACACAAAAAAAGAATCATCCAATTCCTTGCACTCGTTCTCGAGTTATGGAATACCATAAAAAAGGGATTCATTTTCATGTATATAAATAATATACATTTCAAATGATCTGTTGTTATTAGTATACATACCCAAATATTGTATTTACTATTTTAATCTTCCTGTCCCTTTTTGTTTTTCTTTTCGTTCTAACTCAATGAATCGGTATAGGCCTAGTTTGAATAGTGTTCCTTAATATAATACGCAATATAATTTTTATGAGATTAAATCTATGTTTCTAATATTCACAGCCTATGTTTCTAATATAATTAATTATTAAATAATCATCGTCTTTTATTTTCAAGTGTATTTAATACAACTCATCTTAGAATGCATTTTATTAACTAATGCTATAAACATATTTTTGTTATAAACATATTATGTTTTCAAAAATTTGTTATCTATTTTTGTACAATCTGTTATATTCTTGGAAAATTATGTATAACAGTTCACAACAAATTGGTGGGACGTAAGCACATGTCCATCAACAAGTCACGTAGTCCAGTCAATGAATGATCCAAAAGTAGGTGTAGAGTGCGTGAGCAGGTAACTAAGCGATTCCTTCAGAAACTTGTTCAGGGTGCTTAGGGTGTTAACATACCAAAAGTCCTGACTCCTAGGTGGTAAGCCAGGGGGTGGAGGGGGGAAAAGGGGGGGGAAAGGTACGCATCTTGGGTTTTTTGATTATATCTCGAAAACTATCAACTTTTTGTATACTATAGTAAATTATAAAATTGAAGAAGATTAAATTTTCTACAAGAAAAGTATATAATGTGTTTATTTTGGTTCAACAGATTACGAGTTATAACTTATTTAATTGATATCCTATTAAAATACTCCTTCCATAAGAAATACATGTAAATTAGTATGCGAAATGGGGCGAATCCTATCCGCCCAAAGGAAATATAACTGATATTCTGGAAATTTTGACAAAATTTCCAGTAATTTGACACTTTAATCATGAAATTTTGTCAAAAATTAAAGCGAGGGTGAGAGTTTAAAAATGGGATGATTTAAGGTTTTTTTTATATTTCCAATAAAAAAACACCAAAACTCGACATTTTGTTACCTCGCCCTCGCCTTAATTTTGGATCAATTTTAATGATTAAAGTGTCAAATTACTGGAAATTTTGTCAAGATTTCCAGAATATCATTTATATTTCCTTTTGGGCGGATAGGATTCGCCCCATTTCGCATACTAATTTACATGTATTTCTTATGGAAGGAGATTTTAATAAGATATCAATTAAATAAGTTATAACTCGTAATCTGTTGAACCAAAATAAACACATTATATACTTTTCTTGTAGAAAATTTAATCTTCTTCAATTTTATAATTTACTATAGTATACAAAAAGTTGATAGTTTTCAAGATATAATCAAAAAACCCAAAATGCGTACCTTTCTCCCCCCCCCCTTTTTCCCCCCTCCACCCCCTGGCTCACCACCTAGGAGTCAGGACTTTTGGTATGTTAACACCCTAAGCCCCCTGAACAAGTTTCTGAAGGAATCGCTTAGTTACCTGCTCACGCACTCTACACCTCATTCCTTGACTGGACTAACGATAAAATCAAAGATTTTTAAAATTCTTTATTTTGGTTTTTAAAATCATGTTTATACTTCAGGTTCAAAACATGAATAATACTTTTAAATCTGTTCAAAATCATTATCTGATCAAAACCAAGTTAATATTAAAACTGTTATGTTATGCTGGCATTCGCGTCAACCTTCTTTTGTGTCTATAAAACCTCATTAGTTGCTACCACAAACAAGTTTATGTTGCTCTTAGTTAGGTTCGAAAAAGATCAATCCTTTCTTTCCTAAAAGTTTCTTGTAAATACTAAATATGATTCACTAATCTGTTCAGGATTTTGAAATCTTCTAATGGATGTCCAACACACTGCCAGAAGTGGCTTGGGCATGGAATCGTACTCACTTCGCAATATGTATCTAAGTGTATTTGTTGGTAAGTTATTTACTGAACACATTAGAGGTTTTTGTTAGATTATTGAATTTAACATGGATTTCATTCACATCTATTTTCTGTTAAGAGATAAGGTAGAGTTGTAAAAGTTGCAATAACAATGGTTTTCTAAAAAAAATTGGTCCCTTTGCGTATGTCCTAAAGTTTAAATGAGTGTAAAAGTTCATTACTTAATTAAGTAAATTTACTATCAAAAGCGGGTGTTGGGAGTGGTAAATCTATGCTGTTTTATTACTTAAATTTTAAATGCTTTTTATGTACTTTTAAACGGCAAAGAAATCTGTAATTCTCTAGGAGAAGTGAAAAGATCAATTTTACTTTGATTTAGTTGTCTTAAAAACATTATTTGATTGCCCAGCTTTTTAACCAACCATTTACAAAACTAAAAATACGAAAATATTCTACCTCGTTATTATACAGTGGAACCTTGATAACACGTCACCCTTGATAACAAGTGTAATTTTTAAATCCCCTAGTATTTATTTTACCCCCAATCGAATGTTATTGCAAACCTTGATAACAAGTCTTATTTAATGAACCCCATGAGAGCTTTATTATCGAGGTTCTACTGTATTTTGCTACACTATTAACGAAATTCTCGTATAAGGAATAAACTATTACCGTGGGTTTCATGGTAAAACCTAGACCCGAGACAAATTTACTGTTTCATTTTGAGGTCCCGAAAGACCAAAACACCATCCGTTGAATTCATTTGATGAGAATTTAGTCCAGATCCAATTTTCATGAAATTTTGTACAAACGTGTAAACCGAATATTCGAAAGAGTTCACAGACCAGCATGGTCGGACTATGGGTACAGGGTTTCATGGAGTAAACACTGGGTAGGCCTAAAAATAATTTCGTATATTGAAACAGTTGTACACTTCGTTACGAAGAAAAGTAAAGAAAAACTGTAAATTAAAAAACTTTTATGTTATTCTTATGGATCATAAGTTAACAGTTGTAGTTTGCTTGTTTATGGATGTACTTTAATCTAATTCGGTATAATATATTTTTCATGACTAAGTTATTGATATTTTTCCAAATACACACTTTATTACATTCAGTGTTGCAGCAAACCTAAGTAGGTCTACTCATTAAACCTAATTTTATTCAAAAAGGGAGTAAATCTAACATTTTTGAGGACATATGTGACTGAAAATTAAATTTGTCAAATGGAAATTCGCCTATTCTGTAGGTTTGCTGTAACGGTTTTTTATTTTGTTTTATTTGTTTGTTATATTTTTACAGTAAAGACAGCGTACATTTACATAGCAATGAATTTGGCCTGGAGCTCCTTGATGATTCCATACCTGGAGACGACTCTGACTGTGTTGACCATAGACAAAGTAGCCATCTTGGGAAGTCTGCCCTTAGGGATGATGCTGGGACCAACCGTAGGATACTTCTTAGCTCCAAGGTAACTTAGATGCTAGAATTACTGTTTTATCTTTGTGTCTTTTTATTTTGCATCTTTGGATTGGTTTGTGGACTTATCTTTTATGTTCTTTTTCACATGAAGACAGGATCATATTCTAGATACAAAAAATAGCAAAAGCTTAAGGACCTTGACCAATCGTAAAGTAAAATGTCTGCAACAAACCTCCTGCGCCTGTCCCTATTTAAGAGTATGCAAAAAGAAAACTAATTCCCAAAGTAACATCACTCGTCAGCTGACGATAATATTTTGTTCGCACGCTCTTATACTACACCCCTGCTTTTGTTTTACAAATACTCCTCCTGAACGGCTGAAGCGATCTGCACGAAGGTTTGTCCAGTAAATGTGTTAAACTAAGGGAAATTTACTATTGGACGTGGGAGTGAGTTGTTTTAAAGTATTTTGGAATGTTTACACTTTACAGATTTATCTCTTAAAAACTTTCAGATATGGATACAAATCAATTTTTCTCCTCTTCGGTATCCTCAGCCTGTTATCAGTTCTGCTTCTCTCGTTCGTCCAAGTCTGGATCATCTGCTTGGCAAGGATTTTAGCAGGAGTTGCAACAGGTGCAGTTCTATGCTACATGGGATCTTACATTAAGGATATCGCAGAGGTTGGTCACAGTAAAAATATAAGATTAAATATTTTAACTCTCTAATTCAACAAACAAGATCTAGTCCAGGCGCTGAGGGGGTTTGAGCATGCATAAAAGTGTAACGAAATTTGACTTTTGATTGTTGCTATGGGTACCTAGTAGATGAAGAAAATCGATGTTGTCGCATTTCTAGGTGGTTAATAACATGGGGGGAAGGGGGTGAAGTTGGGGGGCCGCCCGGGGGGCCGCCGCGCACAAAATAGCTTATATCTCGAGAACCAAAAGTCATATGAATACGTTAGACACCTCAAACTGTGCAGAAAAATGCATTCTACAAATAGATTATGTAGTAGTTTCACAGAAATTGACAAGAAGTTACTAAAAATTATATTTTTTAAATTTACGATAAGTATAATCAGGAGTATAATGGTTTTTGTTGTTGTTTAGAACCATTAATCTTTTAATTGACAACTTTTGAGAGTAGTACACTATAGGTAAATAGTACTTCTGTATAATGAAACTATTGCGGTACATAACTTAACAGCTATACAATCCTCAGATCCAATAAACATAACACAAACAAAGGCGCAAAACGCGTCGCGGTCATTGTTCCTGCTGCCTTAACTATTAAAGGCGAGTACAGTTCAAGCTGAGACTTATATTATACTTTTAGAATGATGGAGATTCTGAGGATTCATTTGCATATCTATATATATAAAATAGTATTGAGCGACTATTATGTAGCGGGAAATATAGTTTGTAAAAGAAGAGAGTTCAAAATATATTTTGGTGGTGGATCGTTTCCATCACCATCTGAAACTGCAATAAATTCCCTACAATTTATACATCTCCGAATCTGAGGTTGGTTATAACAATTTTATGTAGTTTTGAAAAGGTGATAAAAATTATGTTTTCGTAAAAGAATGTTAACATTTCACATTCTGACGTAAATTACTCAGGAAATTTCGATTTCAACAACATTTAACTATACATTTTTAGAAAGAGCTTTTACTCTTAAATTATGCAGTGTAACAAGGCTACAAATACAAGCTAGGAATACAATGGAAACTCCATGTACAGTAATCTAAACTTAAATTTATTTAATTACAATACAAAATTGATTGTAAAAGAAAAGAAACTAAGGGTTCACAATAAAAGTTTACAAAGGGTGCAAATGAATTTACTAAATTAAGCTTTAGGCTAGGCCTATTACAATAGTTCTAATTTAGGTTGAGGGGTTATATTGCATGGATCTTTATCTCAGGTGGGGTGATCGAGCGGCGTTTGAATTTAATTTTGTGATTATATATAGCCTAATTAAATTTTGTTTTGAAATATAAATTATGTTCGAATTATTTTCTGAAAGGTTAATTAATTTATGTTCTATATAAGCTTCTATTAGTTTCTTGACTTTTAAATTATGGTACAAAAGTTTAAAAGTTAGGCTTAAAAGTGTTGTAATGGCTTCGATCCAAGGAAAGAAAATGTCTACTGGAGTGATCTCACCAAAATTGACGTCTTCTTCACAGTTAAATTTCTTGATGTTGTGTAGTTATTAATATTTGTAACAAGGACGGATCTTCTTTAATCAAATTTCACTAATTTATTCCAAATATATGCACTTAAAAAAAAAATTTATATTAAAATATGCAGTTTACAATTTATATCTTCATACTATTCAGCACTCTTAGAAGTGAGGAAGGTTTGATGCATTGTTGCATTCACATATGTCAATGCTGACTTTATCACGGAAAATTGTAGGCCACTGTTCACACATATATTATAACAATTTTCATTTGCCATAGAGCTAAATTTGAATTTTGACAAGTTATTTAAGTAAAATTATATTGAAATTGAAGCAACTTTGTTACAAAAAGTTATAGGTTATTATATATTTACATTAAATAAGGTTATTTGAAAATGTTCTATATTATAATGTATTGAATCAATTACCTATTGGTCTGTTTGGCCATATATTATACAAGGTTTGATAAAGAGAGATGGATTGACATATTGATAAAAGTAAAAACATATGGTAAAAATTAAATTATATTCTATTGAAAATTTTTGTGAAAATACTAAATTGTTACCGCAGTATAATATTTATTTACTGTTGATGCAATAAATTTATTTCTCATACGACAATTAAATACAATTTGGTAAATAAAGTAGTTTGGTAGTTTTTTATAATTTTATTTTTATGCGTATTAAAAAAAAACATTGCTATTTCTACGTAAGGAATCATATTTTACACAACCTTAACATTTGGATAATATGGATAAAAACATTATTTTTATGATTTTTGCGGGTTGATTTAAACATTTCTAAGTTGAATAATCCAAAAAATTGCAAACCTACCTACTACACCTACTACCTACTACCTACTACGCCTAAAAGCATTGCTGAAAAATATATATTTTTATATTCTACATTTATCACTGAAACATAATATATAATAGATATCTACTTATATGGGCATGTAACTGTTCTCTGGTGAATTATATGGTACCACTACAAAAAGGGCCAAAATATAACCACCACTGGTACCCAGATAGGGTCAAGGATTGAGAGATAAGAAGTAAAATTATAATGCTTCGAACTTCAACTATAACTTCAGCTGTTCAGGTCAATTTAATTGTTAACGATTGGTGCGATGATTCGTTGCATTACTGTCAGAGACAATGAGGGATAAAGAAAAAATAACCTCTCTTTTTAAGTTTTGAGTAGTGGTTTTTGGTAATTAAAATACTGTTGCAGGTTAATTAATGCACACAACTCGCGTAAATAGTGTTAACGACACTCGTAGAAGTTTTTAAGGCACTCACCAAGGCTTGTATTTAACATTTTCTACTCGTATCGTTTACACTACCTTTACGCGATCGCCGAAACAGCTGTTGCACCAATTGTGCAGCCTGGTCAGATGATGGAAACGTTCAACTATATTCAACTATAATAAATACTACCCAATTTTTTATAAACTCTCTTCTTTTACAAACTATATTTCTCGCTACATAATAGTCCCTCAATACTATTTTATATATATGAAAATGAATCCTCAGAATCTCCATCGTTCTAAAAGTATAATATAAGTCTCAGCTTGAACTGTACTCGCCATTAATAGTTAAGGCAGCAGGAACAATGACCGCGACGCGTTTTGCGCCTTTGTTTGTGTTATGTTTATTGGATCTGAGGATTGTATAGCTGTTAAGTTATGTACCGCAATAGTTTCATTATACAGAAGTACTATTTACCTATAGTGTACTACTCTCAAAAGTTGTCAATTAAAAAATTAATGGTTCTAAACAACAACAAAAACCATTATACTCCTGATTATACTTATCGTAAATTTTAAAAATATAATTTTTAGTAACTTCTTGTCAATTTCTGTGAAACTACTACATAATCTATTTGTAGAATGCATTTTTCTGCACAGTTTGAGGTGTCTAACGTATTCATATGATTTTTGGTTCTCGAGATATGAGCTATTTTGTGCGCGGCGGCCCCCCGGGCGGCCCCCCAACTTCACCCCCTCCCCCCCATGTTATTAACCACCTAGAAATGCGACAACATCGATTTTCTTTATCTACTAGGTACCCATAGCAACAATCAAAAGTCAAATTTCGTTACACTTTTATGCATGCTCAAACCCCCTCAGCGCCTCGACTAATCGAGAATATTTGCGATCTATTATTCGTTCTGTGATATCGTATGTTGATGTCATTAGAATACACCAGTTAATAAGATAAGGAAGCCTACAGGTCTTCCAGCATGTCAAAGTAGTCCAGAACCTTTAAAAATGTCAATTCATACAATGCTTGTGTACTATTTTTTATATTGTTATTGTTTTCACTCGTTTTGTTACATGTTTTGTTGAAGCAAGAAGTGAGAGTAGTTCTGAGGCCTTTGTACTACGGATTCACGTCGCTCGGCTTCCTTTTGGTTTATGCAAACGGCTCGACTTTCTCATACTTTGAGGTAATCTTCTGATTTTTGATTTGCATTCAAGACTTTTCTGAGAAGTTTATAAAAAACGTTGGACCAATAAACAACGAATATCATACTAATTTGGCTTGGAAAAGCGTGAACGTTGAGATTTTCTTAACGATTCTTTATATAAAAGCAGTTTTAAAAGCAGTGGAACGATTTAGGTCAGAGTAAAGATGCAACCAATCAACATTGTCCAGTCATAAATTTCCTGTAATGTTATGTTATGTAGACTGAATGGTCAATGCAAATACAATTAGCTGATAAGATGAAAGAGAATTTAATATAAAGAACATTTTTATTACCTACTAATTAAGAGCTAACAACTCAAAACCAAAAACTTTTCCTATACTGTATAATTTGCTTTGGAATAGATTTTAGAGTCTGGATTCAGATAGATTTGTAATAGATTAACTTTTACTAGTAGAACATTTTAAAGACAAAATTTTTACATTGACTCGAGTTTCAGATGCTACTGATGCTTGCGGTCGTACCAGTTTCATTCTTGATTTGTTTGACCTGGCTGCCTGAATCCCCGTATATCCACGTGGCTAATGGCAACATGGCGACAGCCGAGAAATCGATTGACTTTTTACACAGAGGGATATCCACTCGGGGACTCGATCAGCTGATGCTTCTTATTCAGGTTTGTCTTTGCAGAGTAAAGTATTCATTTTTGGGCTTATCCTTTTCGATCTACTTTTGCACCCACGAAGTTCAACAACCAAAGACTTCTAAATCTGGTAGAATAAATTAGAAAGTATTCTTTTGAAATGGGTATTTCCATTGTAGTTTTATTCGCAGCTTATAAAACAAGACAAATGTCGTTGGACATAATCAATCTAGACACAACAGCGTGTTTTACGGGGGTGAGATAAAGGGATACTTGACTGATAACAAAATATAAAACATTACACTTAAATCCTGCTATAAACCACACAAATTTGAAGTTATTATGGTGTAAAATCCTCAAAATTAAGAGATTGACTTGATTTTGTTGTTTAGGAAGACACAAAGACAAAGTCAAAACGATGAATTCCAGTGAGCGGTGCTGGGTGGGCTGATAAGGCACGTATGACTTTTATTACGGCAATAAGAGTTTTATTATCTTACACTATACCGATATACAATAGTGCCAGTAACGTGTGCAAGGAGGGTGACACAAGAATCTGCCACTTACAGGAAGGGCTGTATTGAAAACCGGGAGAGGACAACGGACCAGATCTTTGTTTGGGTTGATCCCCTGATTTATAGCCTGAGGGTAGTGGTCACCGGAGGAGGGGTGGGGAATCGAGAATTCTGAATCCCACCGGAGGCGTTAACTTTTTGTCAAAGATTTCGCTTAGAATGTGATTAGGCCTACTTCTTAACTGGTACATCTTTTGTTAGAATTTTAAATTTTATGATCAGAACTATTTTTCGATTAGGAAACCTTTATTCGATTTTTTCATTATCAGCAAGTTTGGTTGGTTTGGTTAGGTTATGATAATTTAATTTTAGAAATAAAAAATTAAAAATTGCATTTTAGGCATTTGTAATTTTATTTTATGAACATAACTATTTTTTTATTAGTAAACCTTCATTCGATTTTTCATTATCAGCAAGTTTGGTTAGTTCGGTTAGGTTATGATCGTTAAATTATTTATTATATTATTATTATATTATTAAATTATATATTATTGATCGTTAAACAGTTCGGCTATGCACGGTATGATGCGGAAGCGTTCGACACCAACCTAGAACTGACAGGTCAACCGACCGTGATTAAGAGGATTACAGCCTCGGTCAAGTGCCGGTTGTGTCCTGATTGCGAACAGTCCAGATTGCGAACAAGGGTAAAATCGTCCAGACTGCGAACACCTCAAAAATGCTGTGGACTACCTGAACATGAGTCGTCCAGACTGCGAACAAATATTTTTGAATCTGTAAAGATGGTTTAGTAGCTGTTGTTGAACGTGAGTTTTAATTGCTTGTTGAGTTGGGAATGTGATTGAATGATTGATGTTGTAATGTGTAATACATGTTATTTCGGATGTAAGATGTATGTAAGTATGGTATTTATTTTAGTTGCTATTTAAATTGCTCGTTGACGATGTTTTTTTAGGTAATGATTGAGTTTGGAATGTGATATTGGCAAATACATGATATTTCGGCTAATTATGTTAAACTATAGTCAGTTTCTCTTATATTAATATGCGAGGCTATTTTTGTGAACAAAACTCCTCCGTTATTTCTGGACCAATTTTAACGTTTGAGGTGTCAAATAATTTGTCTCAATTTGTAGTATTGCACAAAGGGTTTTGAAACTTAAAAAAAACTCTTACCCTTAAGGGCACGAGACGCTATCAAAGGCCGCATCTTCCCCATAAGAATTACATTGAAAACAAATTTAAAAACAAAAACAACTGTATATAAAAAGAAACTCACCAGCTTTTTGGGAGTAAATATTGATGTTTGTAATATTTATGAGGTAATAGACAAATCTAAACAGTCAATCAGTTTTGTTGGAAGAACAGACAATTTCTTGAGTTTAAAGGAGAAATGTTGAAAACAGGAGGAGGAGACAATTAATAGGAAATCTTATACGAATAAGAAGAGTAGTGGAGAGGCCTGGTCTCACAGTAAGGAATCCAGGTACACACTGACTTGGGGAGATGAATCAGTTTTGTCAGTTATGCTAAGCAACTTAAAAACATGAAGAATATACAACAGATGTTGTCACAGTGATAAAGTAAACCTATCTAAAGTCCGATCAAATAAATACATGCAAGAAATGTTTACTGGTTAAAAGCTTTAAGTCGGGAAACATTTGTAGAAAACACTAAACAATAAGGCCTGGTCTAAAAAATGCTAAAATACAAGAAGCCTTTATTATTTCAAAGAGCTATTTAATAGCGTGGGTATTACAATTAGTCATATGAGCATTTAGTCGGGTCTTTTAAACTCATCGAAAATTATTACTGTTATTACTGTAGTTTTAAAATAACTTCTGTACCTAAAATACCGGCACTTGACAGTTGCTCGATTTCGAGCAACAGGTACCTTAGTTCATATGAAATGATTGTTTTATTTCTTTTACTCTGAGATTGTTTAGTAGTTGCTAGTTCAAGTCAAACATATTATAATTAATTTTAAATAAACATCCACTTTAAATACCTATTATCGGAACGAATTTGTGAGTCTGGAAGAATCTGTCTGTTAATAAGGGGCTTTACCTATAATTATACTACGTCTCATAAAGATATGTGTCTTCAAGAACATTCATCCTTTCCATTATGTATATTACCAGTCTTAAGTTGTGATTTAGGCTAAATCATTCTGTTAAGGGTTTCTATGAAAGGGTTGAAAACCCCAACCACTCAAAATGTGTTCGCAATCAGGAATCCTCCCCACCCCACGGACGACCCCCTCCACCTCGTAGACCCAAACATGTTCGCAGTCTGGACTGTTCGCAATCAGGACTGTTCGCAATCAGGAGGACACCCAAGTGCCTACACCCATTGAAAACCAATCACTTCTGACCCTCCCGTCTACCTGAGAGTCGCCGCTCAGCCCATCGGTTACCTCCCGCTATCTCCGCGTCCCGCCACCTCCGTGTACCGTTACCTCCGAATTTCAGAGTGACCCCTATAATCCTCGGTTACTTCCTGCGTTAAGACTTTCCGTCCAAACCTAACATAACCTAACTTAACCTAACCTAACCTAACCTAACCTAACCTGACCTAACCTAACCTAACCCACGGGTTAAATTTTCATTAAATCTTCCATCCACGGGGCTTTGCAGCCGTGGATGCAATGGCAGCTAACAACGCAGGCAGTGACGGGATTATAAGCGTCACTCAAGAATTCGGAGGTGGCGGGACAGATTTGGGTTCGGAGATGGCGGAACGCGGAGATAGTGGGAGCACACGCAGCCCATCCACCACTCACTGGGGGTAACCATCAAGGTAAAAATCGTTCAAATCTCGAGATAACTTGATTTTATTGTGCAGGAAGGTACAAGGAAGAGAGGGCCAGAGTTGTTTCTTCCTCCATTCCACAAAGACCCGAAAATTGCCAAGGCGAACCTTACTCTCTTCGTTCTTCTTTCTCTCACTGGCTTCCCCGTGGTGTTCATGTTCATGGAGCCGCTGATAAGAGAGGTCCAGAAGAAGTTAATCTGGAACTCTCTCTTCATGATTGCTACGGTCAGCCTCCCTCTCATGCCAGTGGTTTGGATGTTCCACGCTTGCTGCAGTTCTAGGACAAAGATGGCGACTTCATCGACACTCATGTCTCTGTTTATGGTCAGTGAGAGCTCTTGAGAGGTAGTTTTGAAGCTATTAGATAAAATAGGTTCTTATCCGCTAATTCACCTTCATTTTTTCTGTTTTTGCACCATTTTTAATGTATATCTTCTTTCTCTTCCTTTAATCTTAACTACCCCCTACAATAGGTTACTGATCTGTGACGACCTTAATAACTTACAGTAAGCAGGTCTATGAAAAAGAGGGCTACCACTATTTAAAGTTTTCCCTACCTAACCACTTAATCACCTTCATTTGCATAGGGCAGAATTCAACAGTGGGGGCTCTCTTCTTTTAAAAACCTATACTTTACGCCCCTGAGGTATAGTTTAGTTCACAGAATCAAGCCAGTGGTGACCAGAGATAAGAGAATGGTCTCATCCCTCAACCCAACAATATCTTGCTTATCAGGACAATGCTGCCAAAACGTAGCCTATTCCGGAAATGATTATCTGAGAATCCCAAACAGTATGTTACATTGAGAATATTTAAAAGAATAGTGTGAAGTTGGCATTTGCACCATGTTAAGTCCAAACTGATAAAACGAAGAAAATATAAAATTACTTTATCAATCACATGCCAGGTTTTAATTCTTATTCAAATTTCAAAACAATGAGCCAAAACTGGCGTCGATTCCTTTTCAAATAATTTTTTACACTAATGTAACATGGTTTTTGGTTTTATTTTTAAATATTTTTCTTTGGGTACCTGTATTTGAATCAGTATAATTCTGTTTCAGGCGATTCTTGGAGTTTTCTTTTTTTATTTTGAAAGCGGCCAAGATGTATCACATATTTTTTTTATACCTACGATTTGTCTTACATTCTACGCTGCAGCATTCCTAGTCGGTAAATATTACTGTAACAATAATGCTTTACTTTTATTGTTCTACTATAAGAATAAATATTAAATTGCCAACAGCATGAATATGTCCCTTGTCCCTAACAGTAAGCTATTTTAAGGACACCCTATTAATCCTCAATAAAGAAATTGATTAATTATTCAGAGAAGTGGTTTTTAGCTTGGTGGGAGGGGGTTAACTATGTTGGGGGAGGGAGAATTCATAGGTAGCCAAAATGTCTAGAATATAAAAATATTGGTTAATGGTTTCTTTGGCATTTTTTCGTAAATTATTTCACTATACGATTTCTTTTGTTTACTTTTATTGGTATACAAATGTAGATTCATGTTATTTACTAACATTACTGGACAAATAATTGTTTTTCCTCTGGCATTCTGCATTTATTTTCTCTCTGACCCAAAAAGGCGTGTCTAGCAAGTTTTTCCTGGAGGGTTTAAATTTGCTACCCTTGACAAAGAATTGTAGGGTATATTTTTTGTTTAATCTGAGCTCCCATAACCTTGTACTGTATTTTAACATTGTCTTGATTCATACTTTTTCAGGATTTGTTGATAAGCAAGAGGAAGAGGGAACTGACAGATGTCGAGATTGTGGGCGAGTAGTAGCTCTGAGTGCTGGCTTCTTCAGCATGTTTCTAAACGTTGTGGCTTTCCTTCCAGTTAAAGAAGTCCTGGGAACAGCACCCATTTTGTGGTTTTATTCTGCAGTTTCAGTTATCATGACGATCTTTATAATAGTTTTTAAACCTAAAGGAACATTATTTTGAGTAATATTATGTTCCTTTCTAAAATACATTTGTGGAATTTCTAGCTGTGGTGTATTATTAATAGGTACTCCTGATGTTTTTAAAATAGATTTTAAATTTAGCTTTTATCGTTTTCTCCAATTATGTTTTTCCATGTTAGTTTTGTAACTAATGGACATGCATAAGCATTCACTCTCCTAGTCAGCCCAGATAGGTGGGTAATTTTCCTTCCACCATGGGTGATGGTTATTGTTTATTGTGGCAGGACAGGAGAACAAGAATTTTGATAAAGAGTAAGAAAAAAGGTTTCAATCAGATAAACCCTTAAACGCGAGCGCGGAGGTATGACATACCCCCACGGACGTTCAAAACGGCACACGGAAGATTTCTCAGGTGCCGTTTACGTCACTAACTGCCGACGTCACTTTGAGCGAACACCATTAGCGCAACGATACTGTTTAGAGCCATCGGCCTCGGTGGTGTATTGGATAGCGTATCGGGCTGATAATCCATATGTACCGGGTTCGAATCCCACTGGTAGCACTAGCTTTTTGTCAAAAATTTTTGTCATATCATCAAGTTTGGTTGGTTTGGTTAGGTTATGACAGTTTAATTTCATAATTAAAAAATTAATTTTAGGCATTTATGATTTTATTTTATGAACAAAACTATTTTTTAGATTAGTAATCCTTCATTCGATTTTTCCATTATCAGCACGTTTGGTTAGTTTGGTTAGGTTATGACAGTCTAATTTAATAATAGAAAAATTATAAAATTGTCTGTTTCTTCAGACGCAGCAGTTAGTGACGTCAGCAGTTAGTGACGTCAAACGGCACCTGAGAAATCTTCCGTGTTCCCCACCGCACGTTGTTGCTATAATTTTACAATTATGCTGGCAACCACGATGAGCATAACAGTAGCTTCCTAAAATAGCATATGCTATTATCTGGCTGTAGGGTTGTTAGTCTTGACCAAGTCATTGACCTGTTATCACCCCCCTGGGTCTGACATACCCCCACGCGCGTGCTTGTGTTACCAGTAGGCCTACAGTGTTCAATGTGTTCATTAGGGAATCCAGTGCCCCCCCCCCGCGCATAGTAGTGTCTCAGGTTTATTACCATAATTAATTAGTATTAATGACTTTATCATTATAATTTCGATAGTATTGAAAGTTTGCCAAAAAGCTTAGTATCTGTAAACCAATTGGATGGAAATAAGACATAAGACATAAGATCAATTTATTTCCTGCAAAACTTACAATATACAAGTCATTGGAAAACGTCAAATTCTACATTATAAAATACATTATAAAATATACATGAGATCTATGAATAAAAAGAAATTCCTTCAACATCATATAATAAAGGAAATGCATACACAATATGACCTGCAACTCACCATGCAAAGAATGAAAAAGAAAACAAAACAGCACACTCGGCAAACATCAGTCAAAAAAAAGTACTTACATAATCTTTTTTTAGTTTATAGAAATCGTCAATACTATACAGTGGGTTGGCCAGGAGGAGACGTTCCACGCCCCTTTTGAAATGGTTGCTTGGAAGGTTCCGGGCTGAACAAGATAACACATTGAATAGTTTTAGGCTTACAATGTCATAATTACTTTGTAATTTCTTAAGCCTAACAAAAGGTACATTTAAATCCTGTTTACTTCTAGTATTGTACGAGTGGATGTCGCTCCTGAGCTCGAGAGCGCCCAACTCCTCCTTAGTTTTGATGAGGGTCTGGAAGATAAACAGATTAAAAACCGTCATGAGGGATTCAGCTTTAAAGATAGGCTCACAGTGATCCAGGCGCTTGGCCCCTGCTACTATTCGTATAGCCTTTTTTTGGAGAAGTAGGACTCTCTCGACTCCAGGAGCGGCACCCCAAAGTCTCAGTCCATAAGCTATGATGCTCTGGAAAAAAGCCACATACGCAGTCCTTAACCACTCTTTTGGTACACAGTACCTTAACTTACGAAGCAAGTGCACAACCCTAGCCAGTCGGCTACAAACATAATAAATATGGCTATTCCAATCCAGCTTACAGTCTAGGTAAATACCTAAAAGCTTTACGCTTGTTACCTCATGCTCAATGTTTCGGAGACTGAAAACAATAGATTGGGTTTTTTCTTGATTTAAAAAGAAATAGTTTTCTTTCAAAAAGAAATGTCCAACCATAGAGTCCACTGATCTAGCCTCCCAGTGCAAAGGCACGTCTGCCTTGATAACCATCTGCCTTGGACAAAAAGACGCCAAGACCAAATTTAAGTGTAAAACCGTAAAAAAAACCCTTATTCCGGCGGTAAATTTAAAATATTTGTGAAGTGTACATACATTAAAAGAATTTTTTTTAATTTTTTTTTATAGTATTTTCTACAAACCGGATAATGGATTAATTCATTAAATATTTACTGTTTCCATGGTTTAATACAAATATTATACTTTTGCAAAATTAAAAATAACATTTGTTTACAATAAAACGTTGTTTAACTACAATTTTCCATTATTACGTTTCATGATTAACAAATTAGGGGTTAAAACTATTAGTTTCAAATCAATTAAAGGATAAGGTACCATCGTAAAATTTCCATAACAATATGACAAAATGATTATAGATATTACGTCTAAAGTTTAAAGAGCTAAATATAAAAAAACACTTTTTTATAGCCATTTTTATTGGAGTGCACACGTTAACGTTTAAAGGTTAAGTTTTATCATAGTAATGAGAGAGTGCAGAATGGGATATTTTTTAAGAAAGGGTTAGGTTGTATATTAATCGGCCTACTATTATAACATTGATTATCTATATAGGCCCATACTCCAAACCACCTTTTGTATATAATACTGTACACGTTACAGTACACTTGCATAATATCATTGAATTTTATAATCAATGGTCAAGAGTGAAAATAATTTTGTTGAGTGCTACAAACCTATTGGATTACTGTAAGGAGAAGAGACAAAAACCAGATCAAAAACTAAACAAAACATAACCTAACCCTAACCTTAACAACATAACCTAAACCTTACAAGTAGGGAAGTTGGAAGTTGATTAAAATTTTACTTGAATCTCAAAACTGTTAAGTTAAGACTTATATTTGTTTGCTTCTTTGTTTATATTTGTTATTCGTTGTTATATTTATTATTTGTTTATACATTTGTTTGCTCTTATTGTGAAATAATCAATTTATCCTGTGTTGAAATTTTCTACTATACAATCATGTTTAAAACCCTTCATTCTTAAATTTCCGTTATGGTGGGTGTTAGGTCAAGAAGTGAACTCAGGGTTCATCCCAAGTGAAGCCAAGTCAGTGATTATAGTAAGGAAATGTGATTTTATAATTAATTATTATAAAATAAAAATACAATAGATATGAGGTACACAAATGAAGTTATGAAGTCATACCGCCTTGGCGATTACAGACACTGTTTACATGTTTTTGGCAATAAGTCATTAGGCCTGAGTTATTTACCAAAAACTACTGAAGATACGGCAATTTTAAATCAAATTACTAAAGAATTTATCTTGGAAAATAATGAAGCTCTTTGTCATTCAATTGTAAGTAGGTAGCAAACTATGTATATTAGGCCTATAAGTTAAGCTAATTTAGTAAGTTAGGCTACTGGTTAGTGATGGGGAACTATCCGATAGAAACAAACGATTCATCCGGTTGTTGCCGCCAACCGATTCATCCGATGGTTATGTTACTTTAATTTTCATCCAGATAAACCATCCATTCAACTTGCGAATCAGCCGAATCAACTATCTCATCTATGTAATCCACCCGGTCCACGTTTTCATTCAATTGTAAAACTATCCGTGTCGCATTTTCATTCGTTATTTTCGTTTAACCTACGAATTAGTTATTTGACAACTGAAACTGTTCTTTATTAAGTGGCAAAATGAATGTTTTTTGGTAGTCTATATGAGTTACCTAATTTTTTACCTTATTTATCCACACATATTCATTGGTTATTTATTCATCCATTCTCTGGTGAATTATCTGCTCATGCTCTGTAATCTATAATGTTTTACCATCTTAATTGGCATGTTATATGCTGATGTAAAATGGAGTTTTCCGTAAATAAATAAATAGCCTAAGAAAAACATTTCACGCATTCTTCAAACTCGTCCCGTAAACCTTATTATTCCCCCACCACAAATCACGCATTTATTTCCCTTGAATTAGGCAGGCCTACCCAAATGTTTAACAGGTTTGAAGCGTCCTGGAACAGAAATGGTCGAAGCCCCTACCCGCTAAAACATCAAACATCACCCTACTTTATTCATGTAGACCTTCTATCTTATGATAGGCCTAATTGCTTGTGTGCTTGCTGTTAGTTCACACTTAAAAGACAATTTAATAGTGGTTGACTAGTACTAATAGGCATCGATGAAAATTGTTAGGCCTAACTTCTATATAAGTTAGTCGGTTTAAATGGCACCTTAAAGTTCCAAAATAGGCTGTCATATGAACCTACCTAGGCCTAAATGTAATTACTATGTAGTTTTTATTCGTTTGGAAGTTAAAGTGGATTTGAGATCATTTTGCATACTTTGTCTAAGGTCGTTGGAAGATCACAAAAATATCTCATTATGACACAGGGATAACGGTAAGGTAGGTAAATGTGTGGATGTCAAAAATCCTGTTTGGTGATTTGCAGGACCAATTAGCCTACATGTGACACTCTTACCAGAATTGCTCATATTACTCATACTAGTACATATCTAATTGTTTCCTACTGTAGAATACAATTGGAACAATAATAGGCCTCTTGTTAACACTATTGTATAGCTAGAGATAATTTATAGACTAAGTTATTTGTCACAAAAATAAAGCTGAATACAGTAGACTCCCTTTTATCCAGACTCCTCGGGACCGAGGCCATTCCGGATAATGGGCTTTCCGGTTAAACCGACGTCTCCAAAAACTCGTTAAAACAGACTGTTTACTGTGATATTCGACCTAAATTTAGGAGAGCATTGTATTTAGACAGGTGATCACTGGTCTCAAATCTTTCCCACGAGAAAAATCGTTCCAGTACTGCCCACTTCCTGCCG